AACCCTTGGTATGCAGATATTATCAATTACAAGGTCACCACAAAGATTCCGGATGATTTTACACGTGCTCAGAAAGATAAGCTTGTCAAAATCGCCAAATATTACGAGTGGGATGATCCTTATTTGTGGAAATATTGCCCTGATCAATTGATTAGAAGGTGTGTCCCCGAATCTGAGTTTAAATCTATTCTAACTTTTTGTCATTCTTATGCATGTGGAGACCATATTGGAGCAAAGATGACAACTCTTAAGGTGTTAGAGAGTGGTTTTTATTGGCCTAGTTTGTTTAAGGATGCGTACGAGTTTTGTGAAACATGTGATCGTTGTCAACGAACAGGTAACTTGGGCCTAAGAAATCAAATGCCACAAACCCCTATTTTGATTGTTGAGATCTTTGATGTGTGGGGAATTGATTTCATGGGACCTTTTCCATCTTCTAATGGTTTTCTTTACATTTTATTGGTTGTGGATTATGTTTCTAAATGGGTGGAAGCAAAAGCCACCAAAACTAATGATTCAAAAGTTGTTTCAGATTTTATTAAGAGTAACATCTTTGCAAGATTTGGAATACCTAGAGCAATCATCAGCGATGGAGGGAGTCATTTTTGCAATAGAACATTTGAAGCGTTGCTTCGGAAGTACAATGTCACACATAAGGTGTCTACACCTTATCATCTACAAACTAGTGGTCAAGCAGATGTATCAAACCGTGAGGTGAAGCAAATTGTGGAGAAAACTGTGAGTCCTAGTAGGAAAGATTGGAGCATGCGCTTAAAAGATGCATTGTGGGCGTATATGACTGCCTATAAGACTCCTATTGGAATGTCCCCATTTCGGTTAGTTTATGGGAAATCATGTCGTCTTCCAGTAGAGTTAGAACACAAAGCTTATTGGGCGATCAAAGCCTACAACATGGACATGAGTGTTGCCGGATAGCATAGAAAGCTCCAATTGAATGAGTTAGACGAAATTCGGAATGATGCATACGAGTCTAGTCGAATATACAAGGAGAAATCAATGGCATTTCATGACAAGATGATATCAAGGAAGAGCTTTTCCATTGGACAAAAAGTTCTTCTATTTAATTCTCACCTTCGGTTATTTCCAGGTAAGCTTCGTTCTCAATAGGTTGGTCCATTTGTTGTAACTAATATTTTTCCTCATGATGCAGTGGAAATCCAAAGTGCAAAGACCGAAAATGTGTTCAAAGTGAATGGACATAGACTCAAGCCATATTACGAGTCTTTTGCGGAGCATGATGTGGAGGTTGTACCCCTCCAAGAACCATCTCCCCTTGGATGATTACTCTTGGCACCGTCTGGCTGCGGACGTAAAAGCAAGCGCTTATTGGGAGACAACCCAATATTTCTATTCATTGTCTTTTTATGTCATTTTCAATTTTCCATTTGTTTTTGTTTTCTGAATTTTCTTGCATGCTAAACTGACTTATTTCTTTTCTTTGTAGGAAAATTTGATCGTGCCTACCATTGGAGTTGATTGCAGAATTGGAATTTGGGGGTCATCGCTTGATTTTACTGCAAATTGGGGAAGTTTTTAGTCCAAATGCTTTATTTTGTTTTTTTTACTATTTTATTTTATCTTTAATTATTGTGTTTTTTTGACATTGGGGACAATGTCTAGTTTAAGTTTGGGGGTAAGGATTGAAAAAAAATGACCAAATTGAAAATTTGAACTGGTTTGATTTGTTTTCGTGTTGTTTCTTTTTGTTTTCTTAGTTAGTTTTATTTACTCTAAACAAAAACACAAAAACATTCAGAAAATTTGAAAATTAAAAAATAGTCTTATTTTCTTTATTGTTTTGAATTAGATTTTTGTTAGTTTCCTGACCCAATGATATAATTGGATTGAATTTGAACAACAGTGATCAAGAACTTAGTAAGCATGTGTTATGTTAAATTCCTTATTCTCTTGTTGGCCTTGTACATGTTTAATCATCTGTGAAAAACCAAATCCACATAGCCTTGTTGATGTGAAACTAAAGTATGACTTAAAGCTTCACATGTGAATATAGTGACCATATACAACCTATGTGAGTTTTTGAGCCTATTGAAAGTGTGCATTTTTCATACACTCATATTCTTTCATGTGTGATGAACTTATGTGACTTACATCTCTAGAACTTGCGTAACGATCTTTTGAAATGTTTGTCATTTGATTGCATGAACTTGAAAAGGTAGAGGCATTAGGTTTATCACCATGACCCAAATAAGCATGTTTCCTAAAGAGAAATGATATCATTAGATTGCCAATTTGAGCCGTATATATTGAGCCTTTTATTTCTTATCACCAGATATGTCTACCCTTATACCTTTAACATATTTCCTTACCCTTTCCAAGCTGGCTAGTGAGCAATGTGAGATTGTCTTATGAGAAATGTTTGTGAAGTACTTTGAAGGAGTTTGGAAAAAGAATAAGTGTGGGGGTATTTCATGTTTGTATTTAGTTATGTGCAAAATTGATTCAAAATTAAAAAAAATAAAAAAAAAAGAAGAAAAAGAAGAAAAAGAAGAAAAAGAAAGAAAAAAAAAGTATACAAAGTAAATAAAAAGTTTTTTTTTTAGTTTCAGTTTAGGGGTGTGGTTGGAGGTATTAGTAGAGTGGTTGGAGAGCTTGAGTTCTTGTAAATCTCAACAAGAGAATTGCTTGCAATGTAGCTTGGAACTTGTGTTTACCTATCCTTTCATTTCTATAACCCTCTTCCTAAGCCTCATTACAACCAATAAAAGTCCTCTTGATTTAAGTTTTGCAATTATGATTGTGGAGATGAGATCTTTATACAAGCTTATGGTAGATCTTTCACATTTGATTCTTTGAGCGAAACACGTTAAACTAAATATGTGTGATTGAGTGTATGTTCCGTAAGAAGGTCACTAGTTAGCATGTGGTGTTTTAAAAAAAAACTTGAAATTGCATTAGCATGACTATTACACACACTACACTTCATGGATGATTAAAAGGTTATTGCTAACATTTGAATAAGGAAGATGAGCTTGATTAGCTTGTTTGGTACTAGCTAAGGGTCTTGATGATTTGTTTTCTTGAATGAAATTCTATGAGGGTCACATAGGGGGAAGCTATTGTTTTTCATGTTGCTACTTTTTAATATTTTCTTCGTTTTGCTCGAGGACTAGCAAAAGCTAAGTGTGGGGGTATTTGATAAACTCATATTTATATATACTTTACATCAAATTCACTTGTCTTTTCTTAGTTAGTTCCTTATATTTTTGAGCTATTTACTTTGTTTTTGTGTTTTCTAGGATTTGTCAAGCAAAGAAAAGAAAAATAGCACAAGTGGGATTTTAAGTAACAAATTCGTCAAAACTGTCTGTGCAGGTCAGCTGACTTTGGAAGCTAGTTGTGAACAACTCAAAATGAATTAGAGAATGAGCCTTATATGCTTGGAAAGCTACGGATGTCTATTTGTTGGAACATTTCGCGGATTGTTAATATCATTTTTGTAGAAGAAGTTATGGCTGTTTTAACACTGAAAGGTTCACAAGAGACTGGGCAGTTTGTAACTACAATGAAAGCAATAAACCCAATAAAGCTAGCAGCCAAAACTGATGCAGCCAAGAACAAGCCAGTTGATACCTATTCAAATATCAGAGGAAATGAAAATAAAGATGAGGATTAAGTGGGAGTAATTGGCATAAACGCTACCCAAAGAGTTACAATTGTTTTACCATTTCCTCTCACTTATTGCCATCACTAAATGGCTGTTAGTGGGTGAGTTAAGGAGAAGAAAATGGGGCAGCAAGTTAAAAAGGGGAAAGGGTGCAGGTTGCAGCGTTGGAAAAAGAAGAGAAAGGAAAAAAAATAGAAAAGAAAGAGGACAAGGCAGCTTTGCGGAAAGGAAGGAAATGAAGGAGGAAATCTTGGCATTCCCTTCTCTCGGTTTTGTCTTCTCAAACTCATGTCTTTCTTTCGGTTTTATTTGATAATAATGTGTAACTAAATTTTTAGTAGTTAGGGGCTGTTTTGAAGCCCCGGATATGATTGCAAGTTTGTTAGTAGGGACAGCAGGGACAACAACCAGTTTTTGTGACATTTTAAGTAGTTAGATAAAACAATCTTCTGCAGGAAAGACCCTTATTTTCATATGCTACAATTGACAAATCTTAGTGTTAATAAGGAAAATCAATAGGACATTTGTGTGCTACTTTGTGGTGTGCTTTTAATCCTATCAGTCCACTCATGTTTGTTTTGCGCCCCCTCAGGACTTAGAATCGAGGCGTACAATCCCGGCGTCAAGGCACTTTCATATCGACATCTTCGAGTCCTCTCGATGTAGGACCCATTCATTTGTTCATTCAATTTTTATATTATTTCTTTTAGTGTTCTAGATTAGATGTGTGCTCTGAACACGTTCCTTAAATGCATATTCATTATATTTCAATTTATGAATCTTATTTCTTTCTTGTTCTCATGCTTTCTAATATGGCTTCGTCACCTTTGAGTGTCGGCTAGCACGTGCCTACTCTGGTGTTTGGGAGAATATCAGGATCGGGTGTGTCAATATCACTTTTGTATAGATCTACATGTGTTGGTGGGTGCTACTCCTATTAAAGAGATGATACAAATATTATATAAAAAAATGTATTAAGTGTATCATTAGTCTGTTGTTTTTTAGGTCAGTCAACCACGTTGTCATATATAATAGTTCCGCAACTTGCATTGGAAGGCGACAGTGGTCTTCCATATGGAGGACCCCCTCAAAATGTGCGAGACTCAAGACTCCAAAAATCGTACAGTAAACAAGAGTCATATTTTCTCCGTGGGAAAAGCACCTATGTAGCTAATCTGCAAATTAATGGCTGCTTCAAGTTTAAGACAAGGTGAAATAGCAATGGAGGATGTTGGCTGGAGTTCAAGACCAGAAGATCAAATAACTGGCGAGGGAGGGTGCTCATGAGAACGCTGCAGGACACACCGAGGCAGGCGACACGCGCATGGATCCTATACTACACAGGTATGCAACGATGCCTAAATCAGGAGTAACTTTACAGTGTATTTGCCTCCGTCAAGAGTTTATATGGGCTATGCGCACAAAGTATTTTGCCGGAGCCACATGTGCAATACTTATATGTAATATTCCTGATCAAATAGTATCGCTGGTCCTAAGTAGTGAAAACAAAGTAAGCATCCGTGGGAACACGGTGCTTCACCTTCCTGCAAATACAGGCCACGTGAAGCTTATCCAACTAATTACCGTAAATTTTCCGGGGCTTGTCCGCAAAAAAATTGATGATGGAGAACTTCCGCTTCATGTAGCTGCATCCGCTGGCCATCTATCCGCAGTTCATTGTTTGGTAGACACGGCTCAAGGTGATACGTTTAATGAAAAGGACAGGAGAGGAAACACTGCGTTGCATGTCGCTGTGGAAAATAATCATCAAGATGTGGCTATGTTTTTGGTCGGCAAAGATGGATCCACGTCGCATTCTACAAATAACTTCAGTAAGACTCCCTTGTGCATGGCTGCTGAAACTGCCAATTTTGAACTCGTTAAAGCAATGGTAGCCAACACGCCAAATAGCACAGCAGACGTTAATTCTGGTAATTTTTGGCAAGGATCGAACGGCAATTCAATTCTTCGTAGTGCGATCATATGGAGGAAACAGGGTAAATATTAAGCATTTTGCAGTTACCTTTTTTTCTTTTTGGTGTACTCGTGAGTACTTTTTGTTTTTGGTACATATAGCTAGTAATGAGTATTCTTTTTAAATTTTGGCATGGGGTACAAATATAGCAAAAGGTGGACTAAAGGAAAGTAGTCCAGTGTTCGAGTTGGTCAAGCTCATGTTATGCTTTCTCATCAGTCCACTCTTTTTGCTGGCCGGGGTTGTATACAGGATGTATTTTAAGCGTATAGATTCTCAATGGTGGCTGCCCAGAGCCACCAGAAAGAATTATACAAGTATGGCTCTGTCTTTGCCATTTTCATGTCATCAGCATACAATATTGAAGTAGTCAATAATATTGCTTACTTTGTGGGAATGAGCAAAAATTTCCTACTCAATTGCACATACCATTGGAGCAAGAGCAACGTTTTATCCACGTGGCTCATCAAAATCATTTTCTTACGCTATTGGAGATGCTCTAACTCTTTGTAATATGGCATTATGACAATTTACCTTTCATTTATTTCTCTCGGAAAGGGATCCAGATCCCTTCCTTCTAATCCACCAAATCAGTGGATCCGTGCTACTGAAATTTGATCCAACGGCTAAAGTTATTATAATTATTAAAGTGAGCTCCTGTTTGTAGCCGTTAGATCAAATTTTTAATGGCATTGATCCACTAATTTGGTGGATTAGGAAGAAGGGATCCAGAGAGGATCCCTTTCCATTTCTCTCTTCATAAATACTTATTCTTGACAGAGTTGCTTCTAAAATGCATATGCTACGTAGATCTCCTAGAGACGATATTGAGCAAAATGGATTCAGCTGACCTAATCAATTCAACGGAACAAGAGTGGATGATTCCTCTTACACTTGCGGCTTATATAAGTAACTTCGTGGCGGTACGCGTATTGTTACACAAATTTACTGGATTGGCATACAAAGGTGACGAAAATCAGTTCCTTCCCATACATGTGGCGTCCAAAAAAGGCCATTGCAGGATTGTTGAAGAGTTTCTCAATCATTGCCCCGACTTGAGGGAGTCATGTGACGGTGAAGGCCGGAATATTCTTCATGTTGCGGCCGCGCATGGAAGAGTTAATGTTGTCCAATATATTGTTGGAAAGCGCAATCTTCAAGTGCTTAGCAAGCAAAGAGATCAAAGTGGAAATACCCCTCTACACATAGCCGTCCAAAACTGGCATCCTAAGATTGTCAAAATTCTTTCCCCCTTCCATGCGCATGAGAGAGCCAATTTAAATAGTTTGAACAATGCAGGTATGACGGCATTGGACCTTGCAGAGAAGACCGAGGTAGATAAAGAGATGTTGTTTCGGAGAGTACGTAATTTCTCAACGCATTGTTTCGATTAGTTTCCTTTACCTACACAGTGTGACACTACAACTACCAACAAGTATGTCGTACATAGGAGAGAATTCTACAACGTAATTAATTAACCAGAGGTATATGTCTCCCCTTCTTGCCCCTCTCATTGCATATGAGAGATAAAGAGGGGAGGATATCCTGATTACATACGATTTTTCCTGCAGAAGCTGACCCTTATGGCCTTTATTTTAATAATCGTTTCTCTTGTTTGTCATCCAAGATCTACATATTGATAACAACTTGGTCAAGAACTGAAACTTTCGTTTATTTCTTGCAGAAACTGACACTTATGACCTTGACCTTGGCTAATTCTCCACGATCTGAAGAGCGAACAGCCACCAAAGCAAATCTAGTGATAGAGGATTCTGTTCTGAAGTCCTTGCACAATCTGATAGCCTAATGTTTTCGAAAGAGAGTGTCAATACTCTCCTATTGGTGTCAACGCTGGTGGCTGGTATAACGTTTGTTCAAGGCTTCACAATACCATGTGGATACAGTAGCTCTGGAAATGATGTGGGCACCCCAATTTTTCTTACGCATATCCTATTCAAAATTTTCTTGATATGCAATACCGTGGCGATGTGCGGCTCCATTACTGCTTCAATTGCCCTTATGTGGGCACAAACGCATGACCCTAGTATAATCTATGCTGCCTTGAGGTTTACCTTACCGGCGCCAGGTGTAACGCTTACCATGTTGTCCTCGTCATTCCTGGCTGGTGTTGCACTGACAGTGTATCACGTTTTATGGCTTCGCATCTTTTTTTATGCCATGTGATTTTTCTTCACGGTCTTCATAGTAGTGCTCCTTGCTCCTGTCATGGATGTTAAAGGTTCCTACGTACCTGGCCCAGCACGCGCCTTCTTATTCTTGAACATTAATCTATTGATGTTTGTAAACGGATATAACTCCGACGATGATTCGTCTTATAGATGGATCAATCAAAATTTGTGGTAAGTGTTGAAGATGGCACCAGCCGTTAATCCTGTATTACCGCCAACCTTTTCTTTTCTTGTAATAACTACATTTCTCTAGATAATAGGGACCTCTACTTCCAACTTCCACTACATTTCATTAATTGCTGGGAATTTCTATCATGCAGCTCGACATTAGATTAATATTGAGCAAAGCCTCAAATTTGGATTAATGTAATATTAGGATCATGAATAGAACTTCAGTAAGTGGGCTTTTTAGCCAAAATGGTCCCTGAGATTGAAAATCAATAGAAATGGTCCATGAGATTGTCCACCATCCATTATTTTGGTACTTCCGTTAAAAACTCCGTTAAGTGTCCCGGAGCTCTTGGCCGGAAGTTTGGGCAATTTTCATAGCTTCGTAACTCAATCATTTCATACTATATCAAAATGAAGATAGGAAAGTGTAGAATAAGATTATACCAATTTGGAAGCCCAATGGTTGCCGGAGATGGCCGGAAAATAGCCTGAAAAGTGACTAGTCAGCGGGAAAACTCGCCGGAAACTGGTAAACTTTAAACGTTCATAACTTCTTTAATACTCAACAAAATCGAGTCATTCAAAAACAAAAATAATACTTCTCAACCAGGCAAAGAGAATGGTACCTTTCTTGATGGCTAATTCGACTTGGTTTGGCCGGAAAATGGCTCGAAAGTGGCTAACTCGAGACCAAGACATCCACTTTCGAGCCGTTTTCCGGCCATACCACGGCTATTTAGCCATCCAGAAAGATACCATTCTCTTCGTCTTGTCGAAAAGTATGATTTTCTTTTTTGAATCACTTGATTTCGTTGAGTATTGAAGAAGTTATGGACATTTAAAGTTTACCCAGTTTCCGGCAAGTTTTCCAGTTTTCCCATGGACCAATCACCTTTCAGGCTATTTTCTGAACATCTCTGGCAACCATTTGGCTTCCAAATAGGTATAATCTTCTTCTATACTTTCCTATCTTCATTTTGATATATTATGGGTCGAATTTGGTTAATAAACAATTGAGTTACGAAGCTTTGAATATTGCCAAAACTTTTGGCCAAGAGCTCCAAGACACTTAATGGAGTTTTTAACGGAATGACCAAAATAATGGATGGTGGACAATCTCAGGGACCATTTCTATTGATTTTCAATCTCAGGGACCAAAGTGAGGTGTTATGCAAATCTCAATGACCATTTTGGCTTAATAGCTCAATAAGTTCGCTTAGATAGTAAACTCCAAATCCTAATCAACCCTGTAACAGTTTCGAGAAAATTTATTAGGCTTATTTATTGATTGCCCCTAAAACTATTCTTTGGTCTCACCTTATCCCTTGAAACAGGATTTGTCTTACTTTAACCCTTGAAAGTGCCAAAATCGAGCCATTTCACCCATTTACTTCCACGTTGGCCGATTTGGCATTTTAGAGGTTTACGGCAGTTTGGAAATTTCATATTTCGTCAACCACAATACCTCATCGCTACTAGCATGGTATTAAATGTCCGAAATGCTCTTCCATTTTACGTCCATGAGACAGAATTGACAAAAATAGGGTGAAATAGCTCGATTTAGGCAGTTTTGGAGGTGAGACTAAAAGACGGTTGGCAAATCTATAAATAAACCTATTTCTTATGTGATCTATAAATAAACCTATTTATTATTGATCTTTGATGAACTATTAGATGAAGTTATTTATATTTAATATTGTTGAAACCAGAGATCTCAAGCTGCTTTCCTTAATAAATACGAATAGCTGACTTGACCTACCTTGATCGTAAAATAGAAATGAAATACGAAAAAAATTGGATCCATACCTGCACCAAATGATTCTCAATTCATGTCAAAACTTGGAAGACATTTTAGGGTTTTAGGGCTAACCACATTTCACACCCGTTTTGAAAATCACCTCAAACTTAAATGGTGTAAGATGTATTCTACATTAAAGAGGAACATTGTGTAAGTTTTTTTACAAAGAATAACACTATATTTCAGTGTTTTTTTGTTTTTTTTGTTTTTTTTGTTTTTGGGTACAAAGTAGAAACAAAATTATCTCATTGTTCTTGGACCAATTGGTTTCATGGCTTCATGTATTCTAGCCATGATTTATGAAGAAATAATTTAGTCGGAAACAAGCCCATCAATCATTTCCAGCCCATCGACGAAACCAGTTGCAGAGCTCTGCTCTTTGTGCTCTCTGATCTACCCCTTCCTCTCGTTGCAAGCTCTCTCAATAAGCTTTCACTCTCAGGCTAAAAAGAAATTTGGAAACATCACTTCTTGTTCAGTTTCAGTATACCAATGTATATATATTTCAGTTATGAACAGTGGATTTTTCTGTCGGTGGTCCGAGGCGTCATGTTAGGGTTTAGGGTTTACGGGTTAGTGGTGGCCTGGCTTCCTCCACACACAAAATAGCAAATAGTTCATGACACTGAAATGCAGGAGAACTTTTTTAGTGTGATGGTCACATCTCAATGTTGTTACTAATCCATGTATCATTATATAAATGAACGATGTGATTGGTAATACTATGTGACGGTGTTATAGTCACGCCAGAAAACTTTCCCAATCTAAAAAATTGTATCACACTCTCTGTGTTGGAACCCCCGGAATGAAATGAAGATGAAGCTCATTACTGTGATTTTTGAGGCTTCTATCTTCTGTTAAATCTGTCCTTGTCATTTCTGTGTATATCCTTGCAAGAAATTGGTACCCATCCATTATCCATCAGCTTTTGCTATCTGATGGACTTCTGTTTTTCTTCTTGTCTTTCACGTGTGTGTGTGTGCATGTCCCATATTCTACCACTAGCCTTCGGCTCCTTAAATCTCTCTATCTCGCTCCTTATGTAACGGTATATATATGAAAATTTATACAATAAAGTTTAATATTGGGAGATCATTTCCAAACAATCTTTTTATGCATCTGGACGCTATTCTTTATTTTATACTTGTTGATTTTTTTTTTTTTCCAATCTATTCAATCAAAAAGCTAAATATAAACACAAGTACGCAAAGAAAAGAAAAAAAAAAGATTTGCGATTTTCATTTCCCTTAATATTTGATATTCGTTACATAAGATATCAGCAAGTTAGAATAACTTTAGAGGAATTCTTTCTTTTTCTTCTTTTCAAAGGAAAGAGAAGGTAAATGGAGAACCTTTGATAACAAAAGATGGAAAAGAAAAGGACAGGTGAGGATGAGGTGAAGAGATTTGAAGAGAATATCATCCCTTCACTTTTAAGTCACAATTACAGGTGCATTTTTGCTCACCGTCTTTATTTATCACCGTTAGATGAATTTAATTTTTTTAGATTTAAGTTTATCAAATAAAAAGATCTCAAAATTTAAACTCATTCAATTGTAATACATAGGGTTCCATCACTTAAAGGTGGTGACCAAAAATATTCCGCACTGGCTGGCTCCACAATATGGGTATAGAAGCCCTTGATGCCCCACCCGATGAAAGGTGGATCAATAATTGGAGGGAGTCTCCTTGTCGCAATATCTTTTCTGTTTTACTCCACAGAACATGTGAGACGAACTAACTAAAAGAAAGTAAATCAAACCCACAAAAAAATGGAGGAATGGTGTGTCTTTATCCCTAAAAGATGGACAAAGATTTTGCGACTTTAGTGCCTTGAGAGCAGTGTGCACTTATCTTCATATCTAAAGTCAATCTCTCACCCTCCTCTTATTTGTGGAGAGCAACACGACTGCTCAGATTCGAGACAGGAGACAACGCCAACAAGAGAAAGGGCTCACTGATTACCATTTTCTCAGAGGGTTTCAAATTGGCTCAAAACCGATCGATTCATAATTAATTGCGTTTGGTTCATGTTTGACTCGTTGAAGCTTGGCTCAAGAAGAAAACAAGCCAAAACTAATTTGGCTCGATTAAGAAACAAATCAAGCTTCAACATGAGTATATTCATCTTGAAAAACTTGTGAGCAACTCATATTTTTTACGAGATAGCTAGCTTAGGCTAGTTCTTTTTTTAATCCCTTTTTGGTAACAATAAAATAACCAAATTGCGCCAATAATTTGATGAGGTAACTTGCCCCAGAACGTTATGAACTTTAGTTTGATTGGTTGGGAATTTTTGTGACAAAATTGCATCATATAAAATGATTTGAAGTCCTTTTCCGACTGTCTTGGATAGCATCGACCATCCTAGATATTAGGGTATAAGATAACAATTGAATCCATTCCAAGGGGCCACCAAGTTTATTTGTCTGTGAAAAATATTACAGATTAATTAAGGGACCCAGAAAAGAACATTTAATATGTGTTTTCTGCTATTCTGCTAAGCAGTAGACTTCATGCCTTAAGACAACTTCGTGGCCAAAAGAAAACAATTGACATTATTTTTCTCCTACAAATTTACCTACAGAAAATGACCACTTTGTCAATTCATATACGTCTTGTGCATAAAAAGGAACCACTGATGCATGG